TTATGTATATCCTTAATTATACCGATTGACTACTTGAAATTTAAAAACAGTTTGACGAAAAATTTGTTCTCAATCGGTCTGGTAAATTGGTATTTATACATCCTGTCATCTGAGATTAAATACCCATTTATTTTATCCGTAGAAACCTCTCATAAAATATAATGAGAAAATAGCGACAAACCTGTTACTTTTTAAGGATATATAGTTGGGAGGTTCATTCCACTGGCACGAAATCGATCGTGCATACTCGATTCACTATGAAAAGGTCAAATGTACTTGTGTAGAAATAAGAACTGTTTAGGTTTGGCTGATGTCTGCTTGATATTTCTCTGATATGTCGTTCATTCATATCAATGAGATCTTCCTAATGTGTTTATGATAAACAAATAAAATAACTGAACTACCATTTCATTATAGATTTATTAGATTTATTAAAGCATAGCAGTATAAATTTTGATTTGGAAGTGACATAGGGACAACTGACGTAAAATTGAGGTTAAACCTGGGAATGTCCCTGAAGTTCGAAATTGGTATATGATAAGGGTCAATAGTTGAGACAAAGAAAAGGACAATCAGTCCAAAAAAAAAAACATTGTTTTTGAATAGTAACTAATCATGTCAGTTTTCTTAATTTACAAAAGCAATTTCTGAAATACTTTTAAGCGGAGTCAAGAGTTCAAGATTACAAGAAACACTATAATGATAAAACTATATTCTTTCGGTTATAAAAAAATCAGATGTGTTCTTTATCCTTTGTTTGTTAAATTGTAGCTTTCTGTAGTTTCTCTGCGTATTCTTTCAAATTTGCTGGTGTTGAAATAAGAGACCCTGGGAACGGCACTAATTTTTCAGCTCCACCTTTCTTCAATGCGCTGTAAACGGCACTGCAACAATTCTTAAAAGCGATGTGATACGTATTGGTCGTTTTGAACTCATTCCACCAAGATCTAATTGCTGCCTCGTCAAGTTTCCCGGAGGGAATTTCGTATATGAAATCAGCTGGTTTTCTATTTTCCCATTCAACATCTTGTTCATACGAAGTTGCAGGTTCTGCTTCTACTGATTTCTATAAAATCAATGTAAGGTGAACTACAAAATATCTTTCATAGTTTTGCAACTGTTTCATTAAATGGAGAATTATAAATAAATTCATATTGGTTTGTCTGTAATAAATTGCAGTAACAAAACAAAGGCTGCGAAGTTGCTTGTGTCTGCAATAGAAACCCCATTTTTTGTGGGATTTATGTAAAAAAGCGTTAGAATAACGTGTTTTGTTTTGTGGTTAGTTGTTCTTCATTTTCATATAATAGGTCATTCTTCGGCCGCCACATCAAATCTTAATTTTATTATACACGCCTATACATGTGACAACTTTATGACAGACGTTATCCATCAGATAACACGTGGTATATATATATATATAAATATACAATAGACTTTTTCACTTTTTTTGGTCTTTTGGAAATTGTTGTTTGTGCTGTATTTAGACCCCTCTACCAAGAAATTTGTTTTACATGCACACGTATAAAAATTGCGGTTTTTATCCAACACAATCATAGGTTTGATTACACCTTTGCGTTTTCTTGTTTGTTCGGATACAAAAAAGCTATTTGTAAAAACAAATGTGAAAATGGATTAAATGCACCAAGAAGAAACGTGGTATATTCTATTGGCCACAAGACTTTAGGTTGATCAATTAATTGTTGTTTGCCTTACGTCTAGAGGCAAACATTTAATGCATACTCAGAACGAGACCAAATTTAAATACAAATACAATAGGTAGGTCCTTATAAGTGAGTGGACCGTGAAGAAGCGCTGACATTTTTGACTGCCACTGGAAAATGAAGGTATGCTTGATACGCGCAGAAATTGTTCACGAGGCTAAATTGTTTTTTGTTTTGTTTTTTGTTGTTGTTTGTTTGTTTTTACCCATTCTTACAATACAAATCGAGACTCAGCTGACTAGCTAACAGTTTCGTATCATTAAAACGGAAATACATACAGCAATAACATATCATTTAAAATCAATATTCTGTAAGAAAAAGCGGGTTAAAGTAAAAAAAAATGTTTCGCCAATTTCATGTACATTTTATACAATTATAGACATATTTCACCATTTTGATATCTCCGATATTTTTTTTTTTTTTCGAAATTTAGATGATGTTTAACGAATTATTAATGCAAACAAAATCGTATCAAAATTTTAAAAATCACTCGTTTACGTATACTTTGCATTAAGTAGCAAGAGATCATACAACATACATGTATGTTCGAGAGTTAATAATGCTGTAAAGGAAATTCGTTGATATTATTATTAATGAACAACGTAGATGTTCAACAGAAATAACAAACTCTCATCATAAATACCAGGATTTAAAATGTGTACGCCAGTCACGCGTTTCTGCTACAAAAGACTCATAAGTGACGCTTGAATAAAAAAAGTTAACAGTTCTCTAGAGAAAGCTACACAAGAAATACAGCGACGTGGAACTTATGGATGATTCATTATAACGCATTGAAAACATATATTTAAAAGCAGTCGTTTTACTGTTATAATATGAGTCTGCCTAACCGTCCAGATCCCATTTCTGATGGTTGGCTGGGTTCATGTTGTTCGTGTTGTTCAGTCTTTATAATCATTTTCCTGTATTTGTTTTTTCGTGTATCATTTTTTTTTTATTTTGGATATGCTGTATTAAATTTGTTCTCCGACATATGTTTTAAGGTCTCTCTTGATATCTTTTGTCTATTTTTGAATTATACTTGTTGTAGAATTATATATATAATTGACTGTTACATTGACCAATAAGATTCAGACCTAAATTTCTTATCAGCGATAATACCAATAACGCTACCAAATTTAATGAACCAGATGCTCAATTCGACAATCAATGTCTCTTCTGTGATGCCACAGGCCAAACTATCTGAAAATTCAAAACCTAACACAAACATAAAAGAGCCGATAAAACAAAAAAGGACACTGCTTTGAATCGAAAGTATGTAATTTTGAAATAAAACTCACCCATCTTTGGAAGGGAGATTTCTTTTTGTCTTCTTTGGGCCACCAGCTGATATGGGTTCCATCGCCTAGGGTCATCGATCCATGACCTACACTTCCTCCTCCCTCTGCCCATATGTATATCTTCACACCCATTGTAATTTAGCTGAAATAAAAGTAGATCTTGTTTGACATAAACTCCTCTCTCGTTCATAAAACTTGATTCTTTTTTACAAAACTTGTTATATGTTATTGCTATAGCAGATTTATTGAAAAGACAAACGAACAAATCATCAACAGAAACTGGTTTGTTCCATTCGGCGTACCCTTCCCCCTTTCATCGTTAATGACATGACCAAATGCAAATTATCGGCTGTGTAAGTTTTCATTTTATTATTTTATTTAAGGCAACAGTACTTAACCAATGGTCAATTCTTGTAAATCGATTAAGAAGAGACAAATCAAGGCGGAAACATGAAAACTGGAGAAGGCGCATGAACTCCAAAGGAGCGACGACATTGTAAACGTCTTTTGCTATGCATGCATCACGTTCCATGCGAATCCACACTCATACATTTTGATTCTTTTACAAAATTCCTCTTTCCATCATGTATGGCATCACCAAATGCGAATTATCGGCAGTATCAATTTGTCATGAACAATTATGCGAATACCACTGGAGGAGAACGAGTTATTTATCTATCTAAATCATTTAAGTCTTTTAAATCATTACGATCCTTATATGACGGTTGGTTTTTAAAAGACAAATGAACCTACTAGCTATTAAGCGTCATATAATGTACTTTCAAGCCTTTAGTCAACTTTAAATTAATATCTGATCAGTTGTTAGGGGTAATTTCGAAAGTTCAAAAACATTAAAATAAATTCTTATTAAATATTTCGTGGAAGGGCAGACTAAACGTTTTTAGAGGTTGTTGATTAATTAACCTAGATAATACACACACAATTTATTTTTAAGTTATTCATTTTAATATCCATTTGTAAAGTCTGTCGTAAAGTACATTTAGTTAAGATTTGTTATTCAAACACACTTACTCTGTTGTTATGACTCATTAGAAAAGTATTTCAATTGACCTATTTATTGCATTTTTTAGTACTGTGAGTTTTTAATGTTAGTATATCAACCTTTATCCTAAGTATATTAAAAAAAATAATATAATCTGTAGCGAGAAGATGTATCAACTATTTTTGCTTTATACGTTTTCAAGACAACTCAAACACTCGTGAACATAAAAAGGTGTATCCGACTTTCTCTTTTTGAAGACATTATTGCCCATTTTTAGTATTTTTTCCCAAATGACTGTCGCCAGTGGCAGAAATGAATGTTTTAAAAAGATCATTTTTTTATCTTTCTTTGGAATGTTTTTCGGTGGAATTTATGCTAATGGATAAGCTTTCGATTAAAAGTAATTCCAATCTTGTATCAACCAATCACAAGATTCTATTCTTAGTACAATTTTTGGGTAAAAAACTTGCCGGTAAAATGTAAACATATAATTGCGCTCTTGTAACTTATACAACAATGCAAACATTTGTTTAAATAAAGTAAGCGCAAACGTCTATCAAGCTCATATCACAACTTCAAACGGTTATTTCATTTCTCTCTTAATTTAGAGAATGTTTTATTGGACGTCGACCCGGCTTTACATTTAAACTGATTTTTAAGGAAATACGCTAATGTTCAAAAGGACAAGCAGATAATGTCTATCTACTCCAATAATGTTTTAAAGGTCATCGAACACTGATCATATTGCTGACAAAACCATTCCGATAAGGAAAGAGAACAATGAATTTCGAAGACTGGCTTTAAATGAAATCATTTCTTTCAAAATTGTTTGATGACGAGTTAATTTGTTTTACTTTGCATTTCAACTCATCATTGGTGTTTGTTCAGGAGCACTTTCCGCCAATATTCACTATATTTGCTTTTTTCTAGAAAGGCCCATGAGTCACGATCATTAGGTTTAAAAAACAAAAATTGTCTCCAAATCCTAGATATTACATGGTTTTTCCAATAAAATCAGTAGATATCACGAAAACGTTCAATTCTTTTTATGCTGTGTCGACATTCGAGCCCACCCTAGATTCTTATACATAAATCTACACAAATAGGAAACACGCTGATGAATTGTCCATTTGACCCTATAAATTACGGTTTCGTTTTATTTCAAGCAAAATGACTTTTTTTAACATTTTTCAAAGCCTTATTTTAAAGAAATTCGAGAAAAAAGCTTCTTTTCTCACAGAAACCAAAAGTAATCATTCGGATAATACGGAAACAAGTAATTTTCTTATATTTTTTATGGGAATTGTATTGCTTAAACTTTACTTCTCTGAGAATCTATTTGTAAACCTTTTTTGTTCTTTTCAAATGCATCTATCTTAAGGCCATAGTGTTGTATGTCTTTATGTGTCTTTTGGTTTGTATATCCTGCCTTGGGTCTCTCCCTGTTTTATAGACTAACATACACAATAACGAACGGTGGCAAATTTTAACCAGAAAATCTTTTCATATAAAAAATATAGTTGGTCACATATAAAAATATTTAATGATATTCTTGTATTTCAAAAGACAATAAAAGATAACATTATTAAGTTATTAAAATACTTACATTTATTGTAGTTGAGAATGTATTGAAAGCAACCTCACCTATGACAATAAATTGTGTACAAGGAGTTCATAAACTGCAAAATTCACAAATAACAAGGAAAAGATAACCAAAACGGATGTGCGAAAGTCGGGGAAACAAACTAAATGTAAGTAGGTGGATTCGATTTTTTCTCAGATAATTTTAAAAGGGTATTTTCTGGAAAATATGACTTGCATATTAAAGGTTTATGTAGGCAATTCCTTTTGCAATCATCATTCGTCAGCATCAGCTATGTTCTCCTTAAAATCTCTTTTAACAGCTTCATTTTACATGTATGTTTCATTAACCAACATCAATATCGAAGAAGCTTAAATGTGCAACACTTCTCCCAAAATTAATGAAAATATTATGATAACTTAATTAAGTCAGAAGTTATACCACAAATTCTAAATTGCAGATTATGTTAATCAAATGAATAATTAATTGAAAGTTAACAGGTTGTATTTCAAATGCATGTACAATCTGGACATAAAGAATCAAATATTACTTTTTGTTACACAGGGGCAAGTTTCACAAAGCTGTCTTAGGACTACGACATGTCTTATGATTGTATTACGACATATCTTAGTCCAAGTGCGTTTCACAAAGTGATCCAAACTTAGGACATCTCTTAAAGTTTGTCATAAAGTAAGGACTACACGAGCGGTGTCATATTATATTATACCTAACATGAGTTGTAAGAAAGCATTTTTTAATCCTCTGTAATATTTGTTTATGATAGTTATGGTATAGGTTGGATTCTGGCAAATATTATATTCATATTCAGGACGAAAATCAAACTAACAATTATACAATAGGTAGGTCATGTAAAAGGGGGTCGACCAGTTAGAAGGACGAGAAATTTGAAAAATATGTTGATTGGGGAAATAAATTATGCCGCGCATTAAGCCAGGTTAAAATCGTTCAAAGAGTTGTCGCAAGTTGCCGTTTCGTTAACGTACAGAGAGTATAACACTCTCTCTACACAAGGTATCAGACTTAACACCCCCATTGCGACCAGACGTGACCTCGAAATTATACATCCCGCACAGTCAAACATGCGCCATAATTGGACAAGGGTTCTACTACCGGTCGGAAGAAGACACGATTACCTTGAAAATTAAAAATTCAATGTTGAAAGTTTTAAATTCGATTTAGATATCAAATGTTGAGTAGAACTATGAAATAATACTTGATATAGTTATTATCATGGGTAACTTTTTTAAATTGAGAATAGACAATCCTAAAATTAAACGTACCCAACTGTGGTTGGCAGTCATTTCTTTCTCTTCATTGGGCCACCAGCTGATGTGGGTAATCCCATCACTCAAAGTCATGGATCCATGTCCTACATTTTCATCTTCTTCTGTCCATATGTATATCTTCACACCCATTGTAATTTAGCTGAAAAAATAAGCACTTGCTATACAGACTAACGGTAGTAATATAGAGGCACAGTTGAAATGTGATGATCGTGATGGTGGTGAAGGTCATCAACAAGGACCGGAAATTGGTTCTGCGCGTGTTTGACCGCTTCTAGGTTCTATGCATATGTGAAGAGTAGTCATGCGATCGGACGAGAGTTATTTATACTGCCCTTTAAACACAGATTTTTTATGTTTATGCTACTGCTGCTGCTGACGAATGAGTTTAAGATCATTTCATTTTTACTACTGCGCATGCGTGACCAAAAATATTTATTTCCTGCCATTTTTTTTCCGTAGACCTTAGTAGTGTAGTGTTCAGTTCAGACGATCAACGCCACTACAAGTCGTTTAAACACTTTAGAAAGTTACAAGCCTAAGGAATCTTGATAGTATGTCGTTGGAGCAGCCAAAATTTATTTCGAAATTGACTTACGCAAATAAAGATGAAATCTGGACAGCCACTCTCTCCATAAACACCACCATCCAAAACAATGCAAATAACCTCCCTTGATAATTTGTTTTGCAACAAAAAATGGTAAGCATAGTTACATCCCTTCGTTAAGATTAAAACAATTACTCCTTCAGGCATTTGAACGTATCCACCTAGTTACCTAACACGAGATCGCGGACCTCAGCTAACTGGAATTAATTAACCAGACCTAAGAACGCAGACCTCACATACACTTACATGTCTCGAATTTGAACATGCACATGCATCGAAAAGGATATGTTCTTTTACAAAAAAAAATGGCAAATAGGTTGAACAACTTTTATTTTTTGGTTTGGTTTTCACACAAGTTCTTAGCAGACTCTGTAAGTATTTATAAGCATGTGAGGGGTAAACGTAAATAAGATAGTATACAAAACGTCTTTAAAAAGTCTGTTGATAATCTAGGACCATAACATTATTTTCCTACATACACTGTTGTAAAAATCATTACCCTTGGCCTATTTCTACCTTTTTGTCTCACTTTTGTAATTGGGTTACTTTAAAAAGATCAATATCTGTGAAGTTTAATAACACATGTTTTGGAACAGCAGGACTCCTTTTTACCTAAATGAAGATCTGTTAAGATGAGCACACTCACAATTAGAATGAGAATTAAAAAAAAGTAAAACCACATTAAAAGATGAACTTGTATATATATAAACAGAAAAGAAGAATAGTCAGTAACTGTAATATGAAACTATAACATTTACATTTACCTGAAAAACATAGACCATTTCACGTTACAAAAAATGTATTTAAAACAAGAAAACAAAAGTTACCAGATTTATTAAGTGTAATGGCTATTGATATACTAATCGTAATTAAGTCAATTTTGAAATTCATGTAAATCAGAGAGTTCCTTAATCATTTTGTTGATATATAACAAAACCGTCGAAGGTCAACTTTGCATAAAAGAGTTGAATCATTTTTGTAATATAACATAATCTATAAATGCAATATCATAGACAACATTTAAAATATATTGACCTCTAAATCAAGCTCGTATCGAAAAATAGGACACTGAATGGATGATACTGTCGAGGCTGAAAGTCACTACCAGCTCTAGTAACTTAGAAATAGTAAAACAAGGAATTGGCAACCTTTGCTATAAACGTAAAAATAGTTTCCGATATATCGTATGGTTCATGGGAGCAATTTTTGCAGTATTAGCTCTTTCCTTTAAAATGTTCTCATTTTGATAGAAATTGATACATATAGTTTCTCTACTGAAAACAAAATGATTGCGTAGCATAAAAATAATTATTCTAGTATTTCATTAATTCTTAAAAGAAATATTACCGACTTTACTTGTGCAGTAGTTATGTCCTTTGAGGAGCACTACCAATGGGTTTGAGTTGCTTAGTCTTTAGATTTATATGCTATATTTGTAGTGTGTTGTTCTTTCTTTTTTTCATGGTTTGTTTATTTTTGAATAGTGAATTTTGATTGCTTCTTAAATATCTTCCTTTTTACGTATTAGAAATATAACGTAATGTGTGCATGAATAACATCAGACAATGTTTTGTTATACATGGCACAGCTCCTTTTTATAATCTCGATCTGCAGACACTGTGATCCTTTTAAAATTCAAAAAAAATATAGCCTAAACTTAATAAGTTATTAAAACTGACATTAGTTGTTGTAAAACGGAATTTTAATGATATAACACAACCTTTAACGTTGTTAAAAATAATTTGACATTTCTGAACATAATAAACATAGGCAAGGTTGGGCGCTCACAAACAAGTTTACTCGCCTCATGACAAATATCCTGCCTCACAATGTTCTAATTTGCAGACATGGACATGGGACATTTCATTAAAATAAAGATTAACTTTTCTTAAAGTAAAAATCATATTTTAGTTTCGGTCTTGAGCTGCATTTTGACATAAGAGGGATTTTACAGCGTTCTTTCTATTTTGTTTACCCTTGTATGCATATTTTACTGAATTTTCACTTGATCGAGAACGTATATACTATATACGGTATGTACTATCAAAAACAACATATTTTTATTAGCGTCTTTATCAAGTTACTATCAATGACAAAATCTTTTTTGTTGGCGTCTTTGTCAAATTTACTATCTATTCCAACTCCTTTTTTATTGGCGTCTTAGTTAGATGTTTGTTTCATTTTTTTAGTCAGTTGTGTTGTATGTTTGTGATGTATGTTTACAGAGTTTTGGCTGCTGGATCCAAGTAATTGTCTGTTTCGTCTGTATAACCGAACATTGTCAACTGATGTTACTTTTTTTAGACTTATAATGGCCGTCTTGCTAAAGGTTTCAAGGATATAATCTCTTCCACTTGTGCCTTCCTTTGCAAAATCAAAAGATACAGATCATACAAATATTCTGTTGCCTGATTTGTATACTTTTGTCGCGTGTATAGTCCTATGATATAATGAAATTTGATGCGACTATCATACAAGTGAGAGGTTTACCTAGCTATAAAAACAGGTTCAATCCACCATTTTCTACATAAGAAAATGCCTGTACCAAGTCAGGATTATGACAGATGTTATCCATTCGTTTGATGTGTTCGAGCTTTTGATTTTGCCATTTGATTAGGGACTTTCCTTTTTGAATTTTCCTAGGAGTTCAGTGTTTTTGTGATTTTACTTTTTATGATACAGGCTATTTTATTAGAATACCAGTTTCTTTTGTTTTGCCACCTTCATTTGAAGATATTAAGCTGATAATCGGTTTTATACTGTATAAATATTATTTACACATCACTTATGAGTTATGTTCTTGTTTACCAACCTTTTGTATAAAAATTGTTCATTAAAACAAAACTGTTCTTAGTTGATTTCGACTTTGTTTTAGATGTTTAGCTAATATTTGGTTTTAAACTGTATTATCATTAGTTACCGTTCATTATTGAGTCTGATACTAGTTGAACAACTTTTATCAAGTTATAAACATCATGAAAATAATTTTTCTCTTCAAATATCAGTTCTTCTCATTGTCCTGAATATGCACTATGTAATTACAACTGGACGATGATTAAACATTAATCAACTAATTAGTATTGGCGATATCAAAGTTTTATTTGTAAAATTATCAAAAGGATAAGTTATATATGTATCGATAATGAATTTCTTTTATTGTTAACTTACTTTTGAATTCACTAGAATTATATACTAAGTAACTTACAATATTTCATAACAGTTATGGGCGTTTGCTGAGTTTTTTGCAATCAGGGAATGTATTACGTTGATGTGATATAGATATATAATGAGAAGTTACCAATTAAATGTAAGTAATATGATCAAAATAATACTGCGAGAAGGTTAATGACTGTTTTAGAAAAGCCATCACAAGTTAGTTGACCGTTACAGAATATCTAGGTCACAGATGAAGTCCTCCTTTCTTCGATTCCGACATCACTGAAACTTATCATCAGATTTGTATTTGCATGAGCAACACGACTGGTGCCCCATGTCGAGCAGGAACTGCTTATCCTTTCAGAGTCCCTGCGTTCACCCCCTTCCCTGTTGTTGGTGGGGTTCGTTTTGCCAAACACATTATAAACAATAATGATATGGATGTGCTTGTTGGTATGGGTTAGCTCATTGTTGGAGGTCGTAAAATAACCTATAGTCACTAACATCTACGTCATTTGTTGGATAGTTGTCTCATTGACAAAACCGCCTCGTTAGGGGTTTTGTGGTAGCGTGCTAGCCTCTGGAGTTCGCGGGTTCGAGCCCCGGCCAGGTCACATCAAAGACTTTAAGATTGATATTTACTGCTTCCTCGCTAAAAGAACAAAGACCGGTCGGCTCGGAGTACGGAAAATGCGGACTGTTTCCATGTGACCTACTAGCCCTTTAAAATCCGGCTCAGCATATTGGTCTAGTGCATGTACAAATCATGATTTATATTCATATTGCATTGACATGTTCTAGTCCTGAATATGCATTTATACTTATTCTTTTATCCAAAACAGACTAATTCACAAAGGTCAAGTCATTAAAGATGGATTTTTTAAAAATTGATATTGATTCACTCATAAGGTCTTTGCATCGAAAATAAAAACATATATTCTAAAACCTGCTGTTGGCATGATACGGGTTATGTTCTTCTCGTGTAATGTGTTATGGCATGATACTAAACCCTTAATGGCAAGGATTGTGGTTGATTTTCGTATGATGAAGACATAACCTTTCAATCAGTTACATTTAAGTATGGAGCTGGCGTTTCAGTAACTGCCAGAAGTCCTTTGTTAATCTATGTTTATTATTTTCATTTTGCGTAGTTTCTTCTATTACCTATTCTAACATCGAACTCGAACTTCTTTTGAGCTGAATTTTACTTTGCGATTTGCTGTTTGTTTGTTTATTCAACATTGGCTAAAGATATAGGGAGAGGGTTTTAGATCTCACAAAACATGATTAACCCCACCGCCATTTTGGCTCTGTCAAAAATCTGGAACCTCTAACCTTTGCTAGTCTTGTGCGGTTATTTTTGAAATTTTATTTTGGATGTTTTGGAGTTAAGAGTGGCGTCCATTCCGCTGAACTAGTTTACATTATTGTTTAGGGGCAAGCTAAAAATAAACATAAGAAGATATGGTATGATTGCCAATGAGACAACTCTGCAAAAGAGACTAAATTACATAGAAGTTAACAACTGTAGGTCACCACACGGCCTTTAAAAGTGTGCAAAATCAATACCGTATAGTTTACTATAAAAGGCCCCGAAATCACAAAAATTTTATGTAAAACAATTCAAACGAGAAAACTAACGGCCTGATTTATGTACAAAGAATGAAAAACAAATATGATATACAGCAACAAACGGCGACCATTGAATTACAGGGTCCTAACTAGGGACAGTCACATACAGAATATGACGAGGTTAATCTAGTTTGCTGGTGCCAAACCCTCCCCCTAATCTAGGACAGTGACGTGACAGTACAAAATAGAACAAACTATAAAAATCAGGTGAAACACCCATTAGTTGCCTTGAACTTTTTTCTGCTCTTTGTTTGGGTTGTTGTCTCATTGAAGCATTCCCCATTTCCATTTTCTATTCCATTTAATCTGACGCTAGACGTTAAACAGCCATCCATGCATCCATCAACCTCATAGGCTATCATAAAACCATATCATCATAATTTTATATGATGTAATATGAAAAGTTAAATAACAAAAGAACCGAACTCCAAAGAAAACTAAAAAAGGAAAATCTCTTATCAAATGGCGAAATCAAACGCTCAAACACATCAAACGAATGGAAAACAACGGAGAACGTTTTATATGGTAATATGGAATCGTTACTGTTTTATACGTTCCAATTGGTCCAAAACGTCATATTTGAGGACACTGAGATTGCATCATCCTCATAGGCAATCATAAAACCATATCATCATAACTTTATATGGTGTTATATCATGGGATCGTTGCTGTTTTAGACATTCTAATTGGTCCAAAACGTCATATCTGAGGACGCTGAGATTGCATCATCCTCATAGGCAACCGTAAAACCATATCATCATAATTGTATAATTATGTATTATGGGCTCATTACTGTTTTAGATGTTCTAATTGGTTCAAAACGTCATATTTGAGGACGCCGAGACTGCATAATATAATTTGCGAGAACATGGAGAACAGACATGATCTGAATTTCCCCTTTGAATATAATGTTTCTACTACTACTATTACTTTTGTCAGGAGAAAAAAGGTTTACATTTATTTTCATGTTTAAGTTTGAAATATATTAACATATTATTCATCAATTATGATTATTTATTTCGATTTAGTACTTTGAAATTTAAAAACAGTTTGACGACCAATTAATATTGACTAGGTCCTGGAAATTGATATCTGCGATTAAATACTAATGTCTGTGGGAACTCCTTATAGTAAGAAAATATCGATAAACCTGTTACTTTTTAAAGATATATAATTGGGAGGTTCACCCCACTGGCACCAAATAGTTCGTGTAAACTCGGTTTACTATGACAAGGTCAAATGCACTTATGTTGAAATAAGAATTGTTCGGGTTTGGCTGATTTCTATTTGACATTTTTCTGACATGTCTTTTCACTCATATCAATTACATCTTCCTAATGTGTTAAGATTAAACAAAGAAAATAACTGAAATTCTATTTCATTTTAGATTTATTAGAGTATTAAATCATAGCAGTATAAAAATCAAATTGTTTTTGTAAATTAAGAAGAGTAAAATAAATGTAAGCCTCGTTTGTTCATCACTCTCCAGTTTGTCCACTATTGAAGGAATTTTTTTTCTGTGTCATAACAGAAAACAAAACGAAGTGACTTACCAAATGCTATTAATTTGGAAATGACATAAGGTCAACTGGATTAGAATTGAGGTTAAACCTGGTGATGTCCCGTAACTTGATAAAAATAGTTAACACTGCGTCAATAGTTGAACAACAGAAAGAACATTCAAAATTATCCACTATGCTTTGAATGAATACCAATCATGTCAGTTTTCTTAATAAATAAATCAAAGCAATTTTTAAATACTTTAAAGCGGAGTTAATCAAGATAACAGGTAACAAGTAACACTTTTATGATAAAACGATATCATATGCTGACTTTTGGTTATGAAAAGTCAGACGTGTTCCTTTTCCTTTGTTTTTTATGTTTGTTATCTTGTAGCTTTATGTAGTTTCTCTGCGTATTCCTTCAAATTTGCTGGTGTTGAAATAAGAGACCCTGGGAACGGCACTATTTTTTCAGCCCCACCTATCTTCAAGGCGCTGTAAACGGCACTGCAACAATTCTTAAAAGCAATGTGATACTTGTTGGTTGTTTTGAACTCATTCCACCATGTTTTAATAGCTGCCTCGTCAAGTTTTCCAGAAGGAATTTCGTATATGAAATCAGCTGGTTTACCTTCCCATTCAACATCTTGTTGATACGAATTTGCTGGTTCAGCTTCCACTGATTTCTATAAAATCAATGTAAAGTGAACTATACAGTATTTGTCATTGTTTTGCAACTTTTTCATTCAATAGAGAATTATAAATGAGTTCATGTTGGTTTGTCTGATATAAATTGCAGTAAGAATGAAAAGGCTGCACAGTTTCTTGTGTCTGCAATAGTGACTCCATTTTACTGGGATTCGTGTATCAAATCGTAAGAATAACGTGTTTTGTTTTGTGGTTTGTTGTTCTTCTTTTGCATTAACGAAGTTAGTCTTCGCCTTATATATATATACCTTAGTATTAAATTTATGATTAAGATCAATTTATTACATCGGTGATCCGTTTATTTGGCAATCGCCAGACAGTCAGCAGGGTTTAAGAACATTTGTTGTTCGACCTGTTAGTCAAATGCGTTTTGTTAAAATATAGTGTTTCACTGTTTTGGTCTTTTGGAAAATGTTGTTTGTGCTGTTTTTAGACCCCTCTAATAAGAAATTTGTTTTGCATGCACACGTATAAAAATTGCGGTTTTTATCCAACGCAATCATAGGTTTGAACGTTGTTTTCAATTTAGACTTGTATATATACAAATTAATTGATCACAAGGTGTAACAAAATGGATCTCTATATTAATTTATACCAAGTAGAAAACAATAAACTTGCAGAAAAGATGGTAAAACACAACATGAGGTGCTAACTTTTTTACACCATATCCGGATTTCGACAATTAATGTCTCTTCAGTGATGTTAGGGATCGAAAAGTATTTGGAAGGCCATTTAATTTACCAAAATATAGGATAGACTCTTGAATTTTAGAGAGTCAAAATAGGATGAACGGATTATATAAACCCGAGGGAAAATATAATACAAGCCCTAACGAAATAAATATAAACAAGTCTAAATTGAAAACAACGTTCAAACCTATGATTGCGTTGGTTAAAAACCGCAATTTTTATACGTGTGCATGTTACAAATTTCGTTGTAGAAGGGTCTAAATACAGCACGAACAACATTTTCAAAAAGACCAAAAGAGTGAAAAAATATATTTTAACAAAACGCATTTGACTAGCAGGTCGAACAACTGATGTTCTTAAACCCTGCTGACTGCCATTTACGATTGCCAAATAAATTGATCACAAGGTGTAACAAAATGGATCTCTATATTAATTTATACCAATTAGAAAACAATAAACTTGCAGCAAAGATGGTAAACCACAACATGAGGTGCTAAATTTTTGTTACACCTTATGATCAATTTATTTGTTCACAAACTATTTGTTGTTTGCTTTGCGTCTAGAGGCAAATATTTCATGCATACTCAGAACGAGATCAATTTTTTGTACAAATATAATAGGTATGCCACTACAACTGAGGGGACCATAAAGAAGAGCTGGAATTATGACTGCCATCAGAAAATGAGGGTATGCTTGATAATTGTGCCTTCAACTTTTATACTGTCTCAGTCATTTATGTAAATGTGATGATGTATAAAAGCATGAAAAAATACAATTTCGCAACTTGACGCTGTCACGAGTATCCAATTGGTTTTTGTTTGTGTTTTTTTTTTACCCATTCTTACACTACAAATCGAAACTCAGCTGACCAGCTAACAGTTTCGTATCATTAAAATGGAAACGTTTACAGCAGTAACAAATCATTTAAAATCAATATTCTGTGAGAAAAAGCGGTTTAAAGTGAAATATTGGTTTGCCAATTTCATGTACATTTTATACAATTATAGACATATTTAACAATTTTGTTATCTCACGAATTAGAAATGATATCTATTTTTTTTTCCATATTCAGATTATGTTTAACGAATTTTTAATGCATACAAAATATTATCAAATTCTGAAAAATCACTCATTTACGTATACTTTGCATTAAGTAGCAAGATATCATACCACATACTATCAAGTTAATGTTGTTGTTAAGGAATTTCGTTAATACTATTATTCATGAACAACGCAAATTTTCAACAGAAATACAAGCATTTAAAAGGCAATAAAACCAAACAGGACATTGCTTTGAATTGAAAGTTAGTAATTGTACAACTAAACTCACCCAATTTTGGTGTGCAGATTTCGCTTTGTCTTCCTTGGGCCACCAGCTGATATTGGTTCCATCGCCTAGGGTCATCGATCCATGACCTACATTTCCACCTCCCGCTGCCCATATGTATATCTTTACGCCCATTTTAACTTAGCTGAAAAAAATCAGCATTTGTCTTTTCACTTAATTTGACATTAACATCATGACTGGTTCATATATCTTAACTCTTTTCCAAATGTCATCTGTGATATATGTTATTGCTATTGAACAGACAAAAGAACTAATCGTCAGCAAAAAAAAGATTGTGGTCTATTCGACAAAACCACAATCCCATTCTCTTTCCATCGTTTATCACCGAATGCGAATTATCGGCGGTATCAATTTGTCATGAGCAATTCTGCGAAAACAACTTGAGGAGAACGAACTATTTATCCATCTAAAGCATTTAAGTCTTTTAAAACAAGGTGAAAGTTCTTAAACAATGTTCAAATTTTGTAAATCGATTGAGCAGAGACCAGTCAGGATTCTACTTTGTCAAAATTATCTCCCCATTACCAAAAGTAATCAATCGGATAAAACGGATACAAAGTAATTTTTATATTTGTTATAGGTATTGTATTGCTCAAACTTATTTTAGTAAACCTTATTTATTCTTTTCAAATGTAATATATACGGCCATGGTGTTGTATGTTTTTCTGTGTCTTATGATTTGTATATCCTGCCTAGGGTATCTATCTGTTTTGTAGACTAACATACACAACAACGAACGGTAACAAATTTTAACCAGAGAATCTTTTCATACCAAAAATATATTTGGTCACCAATATTTAATCAAATTCTTGTATTTCAAATGAAAAAAAAAGATAAATTATCACGTTATTAAAATACTTACATTTACTGTAGTGGAGAATGTAATGAAAGCAACCTCACCTATGACAAATAATTTTGTAAAAGGAATAAATAAACGGAAGTGAAACTGCAAAATTCACAAATTACATGGAAAAGATAACCAAAACGGATGTCCGAAACATAAGTCGGGAAAACAAACTAAATGTTTGCAGCTACATTCGATTTTTTCTCAGATAAATTAATCATGGTATTTTCTTGAAAATATGACTTGCATATTGAAGGTTTATGTAGGCAAATCCTTTTACAATCATCATTCGTCAGCAGCAGCTATGTTCTCCTAAAAATCTTCATTAACAGCTTTATTTTACATGACTGTATGTTTCATTAACCAACATCAATATCGAAGAAGCTTAAAGGTCCAACACGTCTACAGAAATAATAATTAAGTCAAACGTTATGCCACAAATTCTAAATAACAATGAATAATTAATTCAAAGTTAACATGTTGTATTTCAAATACATGTACAGTTTGGACATAAATAATCAAATATTACTTTTTGTTACACAGGGGCCAGTTTCAAAAAGCTGTCTTAGGACTTAAACATGTCTTAGGATTTAATACGACATATCTTAGTCCAAGTGCGTTTCACAAAGTGGTCCAAACTAAGGACGTCTCTTAAAAGAGGGACGAAAGATACCAGAGGGACAGTCAAACTCAAAGATCGAAAACAAACTGACAAAGCCATGGCCAAAAATAAAAAGACAAACAGACAAATAATAGTACAGATGACACAACATAGAAAACTAAAGACTAAGCAACACGAATCCCACCAAAAAACTTGGGGTGATCTCAAGTGCTATGGAAGGGTAAGCAGATCCTGATCCACAGGTGGCACCCGTGGTGTTGCTTATATTATTACAAATCCGGTAAATAGTCTAATTCGGTAGGTCACATTCGTGAAAAGGGAAGGGTATTGTAGTTACAACACAAGGAACATGTCCGATATCATCTGTGAAACGGTTATTCCATAACGGTCAACCAACTCGTGATGGCGTCCGTAAAATGTAAGAAGGGATAATTTCAACTTCACCATTTGTAACTCTTGGTTTAATAGCTTCCTTGTGAGCAGCAATTAAAGTTTGTCATAAAGATAGGACTACTCAAGCAGTGTCTTATGATAGTCTTAAGATAGTCATGATTTACGACATCGTTATGATGACCCAACAGTTGTAAACAAATATGGCTTCTGTATTTTTAATGCACCTCAGACGACGACAACACAATTTACGCAGAAATAGAATGTTCAGAGAACCTTGAAATCCTTTGGTATATTTAGATGATGTAGAAATAGTACGAAAATCCCGTCCTATTACTATTGATATTTACAGAATGTTTTAATTTAATCTCCAAAGACCAACGACCTGTGTCTTTACAAGTTATGGTTGTTTTATTTATCATGAGAAGATGAACATGTATATGTGAACAGAAAAAACTATAAATCAATTAATGTTCAAGGAGTATGTGACTCTGACATGACATTTCTGAACATTGTAGCTAAATTGCCAGATGCAACTCATGACGCCTTCATTTGAGCTAATTCTAGCTTAAGTAAATATGTTTGAAGACGGAACAATTGATCAAGGATGGCTATCAGGAGATAGTTGGTATCAATGGCTTCTCACACTTCTGCTGAACCCAACAACGCGAAATCAACAAATATATGATGCTTCCTAAATGAAGACAAGGAGCGTTGTTGATGAAGTTTAGGAGTTTCAAAATCACGTTGCTGTTGCATAGATGCAAGTGCTGGCACATTGTTTTACAAACCATTAAAATGTTGTGACTTTTTTATTGCTGTGGCTATTTTACATAATATGTGTATAACAAATAGAATCCCATGCTGGCAAACATTGACGGAAATTGCACAGACGCGGGATACATAGACAGACAACAGTTTGTCGGCCATTTGAATAATGGTGCAAATGTTCGAAACAGGCTGATAAATTATCCTATTTGCAAATCTTGCGATATTTTATTTTTGTTTTTTATCAATGTTCAAACTTAAGTTCTCTGTATACATTTTTTGTGAACTTTTTATTCTTTTCATCTTTATCTATCTTGTATCTATAGTGTTGTATGCCTTTCTGTTCCTTATGCTGCCCCTTGTCTTTGGTATTTCCCTGTTTTAACTCACATACACAACAACGAACAGTGGCTAATTCTACCCAGAAATCATTTTAGTTCCATAAAATATAGTTGGTCACCATATGTTTGTTTATATTATCAATTGTCATAATATTGACCTCCTATATTGTTTTGGCGGGAGATATACTAACATACTTTTAGTCTTAGATACACGATTTTTATAAGTTGTTAATGGCTTTTAACTAGCTTTCAGTAACTGCGAGTACACTCTGACTTTGAGTTTTATGTGCTTTGTATCGATTAAGGTAAGCTAACATGATTTATAACAATAATTTCTAAAATTGTCCGTTTTTTAATTTTGAAATTAGAAAGAAACTAACCCCGCCACATTCTGTATGAATGTGCCTGTCCCAAGTCAGGAGCCTGTAATTCAGTGGTTGTCATTTGTTTAGGGACTTTCTGATTAGAATTTTCCTCGGAGTTCAGTATTTTTGTGATGTTACTTTTTTTTTTTGGGGGGGGGGGGGGGGGGGGGGGGGGGGGGGGTCATATAGCTCTTCAACTGTTTCTGTTCTTATATATCCTTGGCTTTCAAATATTCGACTTTGAGCGTTCCTAATGAAGACAAATCCAGAAAAGCGCTTCGGACGCATTGAATTTATAACATGTTGTTTTCATTTTTTACAGCACTGGGTCGATACCTTTTCTGGTGGACTATTAGTTCCCGAGGGTATCATCAGCTCAGTGATCAGTACTTCGGTACTAATATGATTTATAACAAACAATTCTAAAATTTTCCGTTTATAAATTTGGGAACTAAGGTGTCAACTCCCTCGGGCAAAGTTGACCCTAGATGGATTTGGCTAATGTTAGGTACTTTAAGTCATATAGCTCTTCAACTGTTTCGGTTCTTATACATCCTTGGCTTTAAAATATTCGGATTTGGGCGTTCCTGAGGAAGGTTTATCCAGAAAAGCGCTTCGGACGCATTATATTTATTTTTGTAAGCTCTTTTAAACTGATTTATATAATTTGTACTTGTGCTGTTCTGTTACATCACTGTCCCAGGTTAGAGGGGGAGGGGGGGGGGGGGGGGTTGCGCCACATTATGTATGTGCCTGTCCCAAGTCACGAGCATTTAATTCAGATGTTGGCGTTTGTTGCTGTATGTCATACTTAGTTTTCGTTTAGTGTTTTGTACATAAATCAGGCCGTTAATTTTCTCGTTTGAATCGTTTTACATTTGTCATTTTGGAGCATTTTATTCTTACTATGCGGTATGGATGATTCTCATTGTTGAAGGCCATAAGGTAACATATAGTTCTATGTCATTTTGTCTCTGGTGCAGAGTTGTCTCATTGTCCGCCAAATTTTATCTGAAGGAATTGCAACCTTTGTTTTTGTAAAGTTACATTTTAGGCAAAAACCTTAGTATTGTAGCATTATCTATCCTGTATGTATCAGATCACTGAGTGCATGTACCTTGGATGGCTGATCGTCTATCAACAACTGTACCGACCTAAAAACCGAACGCGTACATGATACCATTAATGTTCTTGCGTAGATCCATTTCTAGTGGTTATTATTAAAAACTTTTGCTACTATCTATATTCGTTGGTGTTAGTTATCTCCTTCAAAATTTTTACAATGATTGGCCTGGTTTTTATTTCTACTCAGTGACATCAAAATTCGAAAACCTGAAGAGGAAACCCCAAACAATAATTATTTTAAGTATGTCTTAAAATAAAAAATAGGTATTATTCATTTAGAATTTGAAGTAGTAATATCACAAACATAAAATATCAACTTCAATTAACTAAATGAATATAAGGTAAATTGGATTGAATTAGGAATGCATGTTCCATCTGTATATACAATTAAAAATAATTTTACTGTTACGAAAATAGGTGTAAAACTACGATAAAGTTTAAAATAGGTTTGCATTTTCAGAAAACTCTTGTTAATGGTTGCATTGATCAAAAGCTTAAAATAATTTCATGTGCTATTTTAGCGCAAACAATGTATCATTTAGGATATGAGAAATTGAAAAGGTATTACTAACATAATATGAACCATTAGTTGTAAGACTGTTTGCTCAAGGATAATTTACAAGGAACTTGGGTTGGAAACACTGGCTGAAAGACGAGAGAGAAGAAAACTTCAAATGCGTTATAATATTAAACAAAATAATGTACCAGAATACTTCAGTAATTTAATTCCACAAACAATCCAAAATACGACGTATCTACATCCAGTACGCAATGGTAACGGTTTAATACTTCCATTCTGCAGACTTTGCATTAACTTATGAATCATTTATATCATCAACTATACGTTTCAGTGATTACCTTGATGGTTCAACCCGCGAAGCAGATATAATAAAAAAATTTAAAACGACACTGAAATATTAAATCCAAATAGTAATGAATACATACCGAAACAATATGAGTTTGGAAGTCGCAAACTGAATATTAATCTTACCAAACTTCGATGTTCTGCTTCTTTCTTGAATTATGATCTTTAAAGAATTAATATTATTTCTGATCCATCTTGCCGCTTTGGTGTGTATCGTGAAGTTTCGCATCATTTCTTTTTAAATGTATATCATATTCAGAAAAACGAGGTATACTTTAAGAAAATCTAAACAGACTCCAAAATAACTGTTCATTAAATATCAGTCTATTAACCTTTAATAGTTGTCTACTTACTCAGGAGCAAAATGAAAATATATTTAAACAAGAATTTATTTGAGGGTCAAAGAGATTCCTTATTGTTTAGATATAAAACATCACCATACGCACATCATCATTTACGTTCAATTGTTGTTATTGGGGGTGGGGGTGGGAGAGGGAGTGTTATTGGGTGTATTTATTGATTGTTTTTGTCTTTTTTTTTGTCTTTTGTTATTTTGTTGTTTTGGTTTGTTTGGTTTTTTTTTGTTTTTTTTTGCGCCACTTATATTTTCTGTCTAATTATTACGAA